AAGGGGTGAAGTGTAATGATGCCAACAACTTTGAAACATGTCAGCAAAGCAGCTGGAGTTGGTGGATGGACTAGAGCAAGTATAGTAAAATGTTCGCCGTAGAATCTAGGTGGAGAAGTATGTGGGAGTTCGCTGTAGAATTTTCTCAACTTTTCTGCGCATTTGAAAATTCCCTTAATAAAATATTTGGGGAAGAAAAGAGAAAAAACTCCTCTCTGAAAACAGTGCCAAATGCTCAAGCTCCCCGTCAGTTATTTTTTTTCCCAAATGGGGTTTCCTGAAAGATCCTTGTAGACAAGAGTACACACGCCTCATCTCCAGCACTAAGGCAGCTGAGGTTCCGGCCACACAAAGCCCATGACCTCCCCACTGCTCCAAGACTAGAAAGACCACAATCACTGGCATCGGGGACACCACAGTCCCCTACGTCCCCAGGTTGAAAGGGAAGGGATCATATCTCTTCCCTAATCCTTAACACAACTGTTGAAGTCATCTGGTGACATCTTTCTCCCCCACAGCCAGATCACAGCTCATCAATCCCTACAACCCAGAACCCCTCCTGACTAATAACCGAATTGTTGAAGGAAACTGATGGTGGAGGGACCAGGGGGGAAGGGAGTGGGGAGAGACACGATGACTGCCCACACTTCACACCACCCGAACTTTCCCAGCAGCCCTCACTGAGGCTCAATTATTCTTGCAAAGTGGAAATCAAGCCCCCACGTACGGGAAGCTTCTCAGAGTCTGAATCTGTGAGCCATCTGATGCGACGCAGGACAAAATGATCAATGAGGATCTGAAGTAGACCAGATCCCACGGGCTTTCACTGGGACCCACCAGATGTCAGGCTGGCCACAGACTGGGTCACAGTGATTTTACATTGCCATTTAAGTTTTTTTTTTCTTTTCCCCAAAAAAGGCCTGCCCTACATTTAGCAGAGTGTATGAATTTAATCTGCAGTGCTTATTCTCTAACCTTGAATACAATGCATTTTCTAAACAAGTTATACAGCCAAAATCAGATGAAAGCTACGTCTTAAGCCTCCAAGCACTAATTCTCTGCAAAGGAAGTGCCTCTGGAAAGCACTCTATGATAAATTTAATTCCAGAACTAAATTCACAGAGGAAGGCTGCCCATATTATTGATTTGGAAATCATTAGCCATTAAATCATTCATTTAGCTAAATAAATAATGATCAGTTTTCTTCAGCTAGTCTCCATAAAAACCTTTTCATCAACTTTATTAAAAAATCCTGAAAACTCAGCTCATGTTGGGAAGTTTAATTTGTACCGTGACCTACTTCTGAACCAAAGTCAGGAGTCCCATTTTTACGATTTTTAATTTGGGTCATTTAACCTATATCATTCATCATATCTGCTGACTTTCTGACAAATATTTGATATTATAAAATAGCCAGAGATATCTGTCTCAAATATATTAGCATTATCAAGAGAAATCAAACATGTTGATCATTTTGTAATATACAGGAGTATCAAATCACTATGCTGTATACCGGGAACTGACAGTGTTGTAGGTCAATTATACTTCAAAAACAAGCAAACTCATTGAAAAAGAGATCAGATTTGTGGTTACCAGAGGCGGTGGGTAGCGGGACAGAGAATTAGATGAAACTAGTTAAAAAGCAGTACAAACTTCCCCTTATACATAAGTACTAGGAATGCAATGTACAACATGATTAATATAATCAACACTGCTGTACATTACATAGGAAAGTTATTAAGAGGGTAAATCCTAAGAGTTCTCATCACAAGGAAAAATTTTTTTTTAATTTTTCCTTTATTTCCTATCTATATGAGATGATGAGTGTTCACTAAACTTATTTTGATAATCATTTCATGACGTATGTAAGTCAGATCATTACACTGTACACCTTAAATTCATACAGTGCTATATATGTCAATTATATTTCAATAAAATTGGAAGTGAATAAAAAGAGATACACCACACATGTCAGGTTCATTCAACTCAGAATGCCATTTAACAGATGCAACAAAAGGCATGCAGGGAAGGGTATGGCCATAGTCTGTTGACTGACTTATTATAAATTTCAAGGGTTAGGAATAAATATCTAAATGTACTTTTTAAAAAAATGAAACATCTAGTATTCTAATGTATCAGACCTATAAGATCACATTTTATTTGTACCTACTTTATAATAAAGTTGCCTGTTTATCTGCAAAAAAAAGGAGATATCAAATGTGAGAGTTTATGAAAATGCTTCATAATTTCATAAACCCAAATGTAAATTAAAGGGATGATTTATATTAAAATCACCTCTATATTTAAAAAGTTCCATTCTTAATATACACAGTAGGTACTCTGAAATGTTTTTCCTATTCAACAATATTAGAAAAAAATTTTTTTTAATATTTTAATGAACTTGGGTTCTTCCCATGATGGGATATTAAAATCTGTCAAAAAGGACAATTTGAAGAAACACTGGGGCAGAAAGAAAATCCCTAAAATCCCACTAAAATCTCACAGACACTACAGTACTAAGAATAGAACACACATCTCTGGGCACTTGGATTCAGATTCACCAAAAGCATAGTCTCAATTCCTGTCCCAATAACTGTCATGCACGTACTGTACCTACTCTCATCATTGTGAAGAGAAACTGATTTCGCACCTATCATATAGAAAACCCTGGTAAAAGCGTTAGAAATAGATACAGCACTCAGGATACTACCCTTAAGCTGAAAAGACCAGACACAGACATAAAAGATACAGGTGGCTTTCTCCAGGCTGCCAGGAAGCAGGTGTGTCAGAGTTTGAAGAACAGACATATGACGGTTGGAAAGAATCTGTTATCTTTCGTGAAACATCCAAAGGGTCTTAACCACGGCTTCACAACTGAATCGCCTGAGGAACTGTAAAAGGTATCTGATGTGTTTGGACCCCACTTCAGGGATTCTGAAATAAATGGTCTACGTTGGATCCCAGGCTTCAGTATTTCTTAAAAATACCCTAAGTGATTCGAATGTGCAACCAGCATGGAGAGCTATGGCAACAGGCCTTGAAAACAAGGTGAAATCATAATTGGATGGACTAAGGTACGAGATGGCCAATGGCAAGGAAGTCAGTGCAGGGCAGGACTAGCCTTTAGGAAAAGGTGCGCAGACAGGGCCCCATCATCACCACTAAAGAGCAACAATCCAGAGGTGGAACATACAGGCTGTTATGCCCACTGTACAGATAAGGAAACTGAATAATATTCTTCTGCTTGAAACCCCCATAGCATTCAGTAGCAGGTTCATTTAAAATGTTTAACTCAGCACCCGTGTTCCTTCCAGCCAACTGCTGCCTCATTTCTTCACTGGTTGCCCACACTGTCTCTCCTCTCCGGGTATGAGAGTAACACACAAATCCCTGAAAAATCATGATGCCTATCTTCTTTGCTTCTGTGCATCTTCTTCCCTCTACCTAAAATATCCCCCTTCTGCCTCTCCTAACACATCTCCCTCTCAAATTCCCCCCTTTTTCATGTACTATACTCTTATTCATCCTTCAAAACTCAGATCAAATACCACCCGCTCCAGGAGGCCTCTTCACACGCCCTCTTCACTCAGCGGTCATACGTCTGTCATCCCAATGCCTCTTGTGTTTGCCTGTCTTAGCGCTTACCCATAAATTTGTCTCCTCACTTGACTGCAAGCCCACTGAAGACAAAAATAGTGTCTTCGGGCTTCCCTGGTGGCGCAGTGGTTGAGAGTCCGCCTGCCGATGCAGGGGACACGGGTTCGTGCCCCGGTCCGGGAAGATCCCACATGCCACGAAGATGCTGGGCCCGTGAGCCATGGCCACTGAGCCTGAGCTCCGCAACGGGAGAGGCCACAACAGTGAGAGGCCCGCGTACCGCAAAATAAATTAATTAATTAATTAAATTAAAAAATAAAAATAAGTTATAGCATCAGGTTTCTGGGAACATGGCAGTTCTATTCCCCACACACATTTCCCCAAGTTTTATTCCACACAGCAATGTGCTCCATTAAGAGACAGCATCGGGCTTCCCTGGTGGCGCAGTGGTTGAGAGTCCACCTGCCGATGCAGGGGACACGGGTTCGTGCCCCGATCCGGGAAGATCCCACATGCCGCGGAGCGGCTGGGCCCGTAAGCCATGGCCGCTGAGCCTGCGCGTCCGGAGCCTGTGCTCCGCAATGGGAGAGGCCAAAACAGTGAGAGGCCAGCGGAACGCAAAAAAAAAAAAAAAAAGAGACAGCATCATCCAGGCTCACTGGCAGTTAGATGTAGCCAGCAATAGGTAAGTGGAAGTCCTGGACAGGACTGCCAAGAAAACTGTTTTTCCCGCCCCGCTTTCCTCCTTACTGATGCCTGGAATATAGACAAGGTAGCTCGAGCCCCAGTAGCCTTTAAATCCTGAGGTACCCACTAAGGATGGTAGAGCAGAGAGAGAGGGAAAATTGAAAAAAAACAAAAAAAGTCAAGACAATTACCCTGGAACCTTGAAAAGAAGGAGGCTAAAGAGGAAAAAAGTACAAATGGCAAGTTGTCTTTGGTAAACTTGCATACATTTCATTCTTTTCAAAAAATTTCACATGGAAAGATATGTCACCATGCAGAAAAGTCTTAAGATGAAATATACAACTACATTCCATGAAACAAGCACTTAAACATTCTTAACTAATCCATAAAAGCAGGAAAAAAGGAAATATTTATTGAGCACTTTATATCATTCACTATAAGAATCACTTTACATAATTAGCAACCTTAAGATAGGAATTATATCTTATTTACCTTTTAAATCCTCAATTGGTAAGTATCCAGAAAAGAGTAGATACTCCATAAATGATTTAAATCAATGAATAAACAGATGTATAAATGATGGTGTCAAGTTAAGCCATTCAAAATTACTGAAAACGTTATTGTTTTTCCCAACTCTCCTTCATTTATACAGTCTCATCTACTATTCTCCTAATATAAGTTACACACTGTTGGGGAACTAGAACCTTCTTTCATACCTTCCGTTGTTGGAAATACTTCTTCTCCTTCAGTTTTAGTCTCTGCCAGTTTCCCAGTTCTCAGCAATACTTCTGCAAAGCTTTCTACCGGGACATGCTGATAGGTGCCATAGGTCACTTCAGACTAGACAAAAGAAGCAGTTACACCATTTGGTAGGGTGTCTTTTTCTCTATAAAGATATTCTTAGAAAACATAATGACAGGAATTTTATCTTCTGGTAACTTGAATTACTGAAGCACGTTATTTTATGTAAAATTATAAATAGATTTTAGTCTCATAACATGTTGTATATGAAACAAATCACATAAAACCAATGAACAACATGAGTAAGAACAAAGCAAAAGAAGTACATTTTAGGAAAATTGTAAGTTTTGTTCATTGTAAAATGCCCACAACACCATGACAGCTAAATCCGTGTTCTTAGGCACACTGTACCTTACCTCTACAACAAAGGGATTGGAGATGACAGATTCGTAAAAAGGATGACAGCCTTGTTTTTCTAGGCCTTCATTGGCTCTGGTTCCAATTCGATAAGCACCACCAAATTCTTGTCCCTAAACAGAACAAAGTGAAGAACACTGGATAAAAAGAAAGAGACCTGGGAGGGGAGGTGGAGGAGGAAGGGAAGGAAGACAGAACAAACAGATTTCAGGAGAAACGCATCAATGTGCATGTGTGATCCAAAGAGAGAGTGTCAGAGTGACACCGATATCCAGCGGAGAATGTGAGAATAATCACCATATTCTAAGCGCAGCACTTCAACCTTACCCTGAAGGGCCTTTTGATTTTCCTGGTCACTTTGATATCACTGAATCAGAAACATCGAAGCAATCGGTGTTACACACATGGCCAACATTCTATACAACAGTCAGAATAACCTTTCCAGAACATCATTCTGTGCATACTGTTCCCTTGCTCCCAAATCCTTCAGTAGCTCTGAATAACGCAGTCAACAGTATTCAATCTCAACTGCAGAGAATAACATTCAAACTTATTAAATGTTAATTAGCTTTAAAGACTAACTCTCCACACCAACTAAACCATCTACTTTATGCATCCTACCGGCCACTATGCCCTTCTTCCATTATGAGGGTAATGGTCCATGCTGACTGCCCACCTCTCCTTCCAGGCCCACCTCAGACCGCACCTGCTGAAACCGCACCAGATGGAGACAAGGTACGACTGGGCCCCCTGCATCACTCCCACCTCGTCCACAACTACAACCCACACAGATGCCTTCATAAGACTGGTCATCAGTATTCCTCATTAGCAGTATTATAGTATCCCTACCATGGTTAACTGTCTTTATGTTTTGCTCTCCTCAAATAGATTGTAAAGAGCCCCTTATTGGAAAGCCAAGTAGAAGATATTCACCCATTCCTCCAAAGTTTATTAAGCACTTACTTTAGGCCAAGCATAGCCTCCGGAAACAACCAAGGTCCTGCTGCAAATGATGTTAGAAGTTACAACTGACACTTACTAGAAACTATACATTAGGCACAGTATCCAACACCTCATCTGAGACATAGACCCTCAAAACACCCCAACAGGTGAGACAGAAAAGTAACCCTAACCATAATCCAGTGTGATACATGAAACGAAGAGAGATGCACAGACTTAACCCAAAGTCAAGCCCACTGCATGTCAGTAAGTGGTTTCTTCTGGGCGATCATCCTTAGTTCTCTTTCCTGCATATCCCACATTCAGACCATCATCAGGTCCACAAAATACATCCCTCAACCAAACACTTCCCACTTCCTTCATGGCTACCCTAATCCAAACCACCAACATCTCTCACCTGGAGTCCTGGAAGAGAGATGCTCCATTCCAAGTCGAATAAGTGACAATGCACAGTCAACCTAAAATGGAAAGGCAACAGTAAGTCTCTGAGTATTATATCTTTCTTTTCCATATATTCTAAAGTAAAAGCCTCTAGTATAGAATCTAGCAATAATCCTTATAATCATTTTATATAAAACTGCATTACTACATACTTTTTTATTCAGTACAAAAACATCAGACTTCTTTATGAAATATATTAGCACCAAACTGTCCCAAAAGAATCAAATAATCACCAAGAAATACTGAAAATAAAAATAAAAGAAAGACAACCATCTTCAATTTGTAGAGCATTACAGTTTACTGAGCTGTTTACATATATTTGTCTATTTAATTCTCAGAACAATAACAAGCAGGAAAAAAATAAAAATAAAAAAACATAGCTAGGTAGTGATAATGTCAAATTAACCTATTTTCACTATACCACTCTGCCCCAAAAAGAATGCGTGGCTTCCACAGTCCTGTACAGTACCTCTCCTTCCACAAGTCCTCCCTATAGATGACATTCAATAAACTCTTGCTGAACGATTAACTGATTAATTCAACCTTCTCTGTCCCAATTCAACTACTTAGACCTCCCTTACAACAAAACAAAGAATAATCTTTCTGCAGATGCTCAATACACAGCAATTTCACGCCCATCACTTGGTCAGGTTTATAAAATGGACATATTCTGATTGACAGCAAAATCATCTAATGTGGCCTTAACCCCCAGCGCCTTATACTTCTCCTTACTTGCTCCCTTACTCCTAGAAAAGCAATTATTTATTGAGAACCTACTATGAACTGAACACCATTCTAAGTGTCAGGAATACAAAACTGAATAAGATGAGGTCTCTTCCTTCAAAGATGTCTCCATCTTGTAGGGAAACACAATCTGGTAAATTAATGATTGAAGTGGAGTGAGGGTGCCTGGGATCTCAAAGAAGAGGGCAAGGAGCCCAACCGGAGAGTCACGAAGTCTCCCAGAGGGGAGAACACTTAAAATGGGTTTTAAAGCATCAGTGGATATTAGTAAGTAAAGAAAGAAGAAGCGCAGGAGAACAGCATGGAAGGCAGAGATGCATGAATGTTAGGAAGTACGATTAGTTCCATAAACTGAAAAGAAGGTATGAAGTGAAGTGATGAAAAACGAGGCTAGAGTAGCAGAGAAGGGCCAGATAAAAAAGAACATTGCTTGCTGAGCTAAGGAATTTGCAGTTTACCCCAAAATGCAAATTTAAAGGATTTTCAGCTGAGGCATGTCATAATAGACTTACACTTTGGAAAGAATACTCAGTATTTATTGAATGAATGACAAATGAAATATGAATGGACTGGAAATGGACTGGGCTGAAAGTAAGCAGACTAGTTAGGAGAACTGCAATTACTAATACCAGAAGACTCTCTACTAGTGACAAGAATAGCCCCCTGGGGGGACAGCAATATTTAAGGGACAAGCCAAAGACTCTGAGCCACACTGCGGAGAGGAACATGAACAACTAAGACAAAGACAATGAAGAAAGCGAAATGACATCACAGAAGCCTAAGGAGAAGAGATTGCAAGGAAAAGGAAGCAGTAGTGTCAAAGGACAATGTTGTTAAACACCAAATGAAGGCGATCTGACATTAAAAGGCGAGCAGGGAGCCTTACTGATGGAGTTTCCGCGGAGTGACAGGAGTAGCCAGACACCAGGGAAACGAGGAGTAAACAAACACTGAGGAAGTGATTGCAAAGGGCAGAGTGGCTACCTCTGAGCTGAGCTGCGATGGAAAGAAGACAGATAAAACGGAAGCTAGGGAGAAAATGGCTCTAATTTATATATAAATATAAGTCTCTGAGTATATACATGTGTATATATATACACGTGTATATATATATATATATATATATATATATACACTCCTATTTCATGTATATATATACATGTGTGTGTGTGTGTGTATATATATATATATATATATATGAAATAGGAGTGATTTGAACTTTTTACGTCCAAAAAAAGGCAGGGGGGTAATAGACCAGAGGTTAAAGATACAGGAGAGAGAGAAAAAATGACTGCTAGAACAATCCTGAGCAGGGGGCGGTGTGGAATCCAGGGTACGGGTAAAGAAAGAAGTTCAGGAGAATGCAAGAGAGACCTCTTCCTGTGGGAAAACTGGAAAGAGTAGGGCAAATGGAAGTGATTTCTCAACTTTCACCATGAAATACAAAGCAAAATCACTGCTGAGAATGATGAAGGAAGCATTGGTGCGAGGAAAGGAGGAAACGGGGAGAGGAAACAGTCACGCAGCATAAAGAAAAAATGCCAAGCGATATCACAGATCCACCCAAAGCCCTTCCAGGACTCAGAGATTAACAGGTGAAGAGGTGAAAAAGGAAGAACTGCATGTTCAGTTGAAAAGAGTGGCGCAAATAAAAATAAGGGAGGAAACTACAGGTAGATAAGGCATGAGGCAAAAGGGAAGGGATCCAGCAATACCTCAACAAAAGGACAATTAATGTCGGAAAAGCCACACCTACTTGTATACCAAGTTCTTAAAAACTCAGAAAATCTCAGAAAGTATGAAGAAACGTGATATGTAAAGCACAACTTTGGGCAATAGTCTGAACACATAGTACATTAGCAATTTGTAACACACTCAACCAATTTTGCGATCCAGATCTGTGTTTCTAATATCAACTTTGACGTTGTTGCTTTCCAAAATAACCACTGAAGTAAACATGTTTGAAAATCAAATTACTGACACCTTAAAGTAGGCTCTGGTAACAACTTACAGAATTATACCATATACCCCAAGCCCCCAATAGATAAATTTCACCACTATATGTACACATTTTCCTAAACCAACAAACAAGATTTCCAAAAGCTATTTATAGGCGCTAAGGAAGAAGTAGCACTACATCAGTTTAACCTGTAAAAATGAAAAAGATAAAACTATGCCAGATACCACTTTGATTAAAGCATAAGCCACATGAAACGTCAATACATAAAATGAAGCTAAAGAACAATACCCCTACTATAAGTGTTTTTAAATAAATCAAAGAGATGAAAGGGTATACAGCCAACTAAATAAAGCATCCCCAAATCACTTTCCTTTCTTTATAATTATTCATTTTTTTAACTTCTTATTTTATATTGGGGTACAGCTGATTAACAATTTTGTAACAGTTTCAGGTGCACAGCAAATCTTTATAATTATTCTTGATTACTAAAACAGAAATCAAGATGTCTAGGAATTATAATTAGACTTAAAAAAATCATATTTCAGAAAGTGCTAACTTTGGTTTTGTTTTTAACAGACTTTCTTTTTTAGAGCAGTTTTAGGTTGACAGCAAAAATGAGCAGAAAGTACAGAGATTCCCCACATCACCCCGGTCCCCACACATGCACAGCCTCCCCCGTTACCAACATCCCCCAGCAGGGTAGCACCTTTGTTACAATCAGTGAACCTATACTGACACACCATTATCACTCAGTGTTCACAGTTTACATTAGGGTTCACTCTTGGGGTTTACTTTCTGTGTGTTTGGACCAAAGTAGACTGACAGGTACCCATCATTATGGTATCATACAGAGTATTTTCACTGCCTTAAAAATTCTCTGTGTTCCATCTATTCATCTCTCTACCACCAACCCCTGGCAATCACTGATCTTTTTACTGTTTCCATCATTTTTCTTTTTCCAGAATGTCACATGATGGGAATCAAACAGTATATAGCCTTCTCAGACTGGTTTCGTTAACTTAGTAATATGCATTTAAGGTTCCTCCACACCTTTTCATGGTTTGATTGCTCATTTCTTTTCTGGAGTTCAGTAATATTCCATTGTGTGGATGTACCACTGTTTATTAATCCATTTGCCCACTGAAAGACATCTTGATTCATCAATTGTAACTAACATACCACTCAAATGCAAGATGTTAATAATAGGGATAACTAGTGGGTAGGGCAGAAAGTGAGGGGAATATATGGGAACTCTGTACTTTCTACTCAATTTTTCTATAAACCTAAAGCTCCTCTAAAAAATAAAGTATTAATAAAATAAAGAAAGAAATGTAAAAAATGATAATTTATTTTACATTCCAGTATAGGCCTTTTTCTTTTTGTTAGTGCTATTTTTTAAAAACCTGAATAAATATTTTGTAACCCAAATTTCAGTCATTAAACACTAAAACTGGTATTGGCAGAAAACGAAACACATAGATCAATAAAGCAGAATTAAAAGTCTAAAAATAAACCCACATATATATGGACAACTAATTTCTGGCAAAGGAGCAAAGAACACACAATGGAGAGAGGACAGTCTCTCCAATAAATGGTGTTGGAAAAACTGGACAGCTACAGGCAAAAGAATGAAACTAGACCACTATTTCACATCATGCACAAAAATCAATTCCAAACGGATTAAAGACTTGAGTAAGACCTGAAACTCTAAGACTCCTAGAAGAAAACATAGGCAGTACGCTCTTTGACATCATTCTAGCAATATCTTTCTGGATCTGTCTCCTCAGGCAAGGGAAACAAAAGCAAAAATAAACAAGTGGGACTATATCAAACTAACAAGCCTCTGCGCAACAAAGGGAACCATCGACAAAATGAAAATACAACCTACCAAATGGAAGAGGATATTTGAAAATCATGTATCTGATAAAGGGTTAATTTCCAAAATATATAAAGAACTCAAACAGATCAACAACACAAAAAACAAATACCCAATTAAAATATAGGCAGAGAAACACAAAACACCCCGAATAGCCAAAGCAATCTTGAGAAAGAAAAACAGAGCTGGAGGAAGCAGGCTCCCGGACTTCAGACTATACTACAAAGCTACAGTAATCAAGACAGTATGGTACTGGCACAAAAACAGAATTATAGATCAATGGAACAGAATAGAAAGTCCAGAGATAGATCCACGCACATATGGTCACCTTATTTTTGATAAAGGAGACAAGAATATACAATGGAGAAAAGACAGCCTCTTCAATAAGTGCTGCTGGGAAAACTGGACAGCTACATATGAAAGAAAGAAATTAGAAC